CAGGTATCTCAGTAGACATAAAATATACAAGAAAATATTTTGATGAGCAGGCACATTTGAAACTCACAGTACCCAAATTGTATTAAACTAAAAGGAATTATCTGCCAGCACCCAGGATATAAAAGTCATTACAAAACACAGCCCTTAAGAGTTTACAACAAACTACCCTAGGTTTATCCAGAAATTTATTTTCCTAGAGAAGTTAGCTAACATTGACTCTGTGTGCCATGAAATTTTTGTTTGTGATTATGTTCCAGTCAACTAACAGTGAGTTTAGTTTTTCATTTCTATTAATTCACCCTTAGCATTTGGAGTTCTGACGCATCCTACTAAGCTTTACTTTGATTTAAAATTGAGTAAGAATATTCATCAGCTTGTGCTGTATTCATTCATCTTCAGATGAATCCAGCCAAAAGAAAAATCTAATGTTCAGCTATCGGAACTAGAAGGCCTCCACCTTCCCCACAGCCCAGCTTCAGATTTCAGCATCTTGGACTGAAACAGGGCTGCACATCTGCCTCAGAGGCACTGAAACAGCCGACAGGGCTTAGATGATCGTTGGGCTGTGGCATTTTAAAAAGAAGTTTCTAAAAAGCTGCTGTTATCAAAAGCTCAGATTCACCGATTTCAAAACCAATAAACTGTGAGTTCATTTTGATGGGAGGGCACATGTAATTTCCTGTTGTGGCTGGTTTTTCAATCTTCTGCCTGGAATACTTCCTCATTGCCTTTCCAACATATTTAGTTTAGAGCCCCCTTCTAATTCATGGTCTATATGGTAGCCAGAGTGATGATTTTGGATTTCAATGCTGTCATGCCGTCTTTGCCCAATCTCCTGCATAAAATACTTAAATGCTTACTTGTTGCTATTAGGAGTAAAATCAAAGTCTGAAACTTAACCTACAAGACCAAAAGGTGTTTTTTTTTCTTCTCTCTAATGTCATTTTATAACATGTTCGTATTATCTATTTCTTTCTCTCTAGTCACCATCAATGTTTTAAATTGTACCATAATTTAATAATACCATAATAGTACCATCTCCTTTCCATGAAGGGACATGCACACATCTGTTTTTCTCTGTCCCACATTACCTGGATTCTTTTATCTTGGACTCATCCACTCATCTTTGTCATCTGCTTTGCTTATTCCACACCTTCCAGTCTTCTCGGCACAGGAATCACTTCCTTTGGGAAGCCTTCCCGGAAGTTCCCAATCACATCAGCTCTGTCTATTACACAAGATTACACCACCATGCACCTCTCCTTCATATTTTCCCACGAAACAAATTTAAACTTATTTATATGATTATTTAAAGAATATCTGATTCCCTAGTGGTCTGCAAGCTCATGGAAGCCTGGACCACATTTGCTTTGTTTGTTTACTAATTATTTACTTATCAGCATTTTCCCATTTAGTACCTGACACAGTATAAACCTTGAATCAATGTCTGCCACTTGGTTGAGTGAATCAATGAATGACCAGAAACCTAGTTAAAATATGGCAAGCATGCTTGGTCATTGGTTATCAGCCTTGTTCTCTGTTTCTTTTTTTTTTCTTTCTTTCTTTTTTATTTATTTTATTTATTTATCTTTTTTTTTTTGACAGGCAGAGTGGACAGTGAGAGAGAGAGAGACAGAGAGAAAGGTCTTCCTTTGCCGTTGGTTCACCCTTCAATGGCCGCCGTGGCCGGTGCACTGCGGCCGGCACAGCGTGCTGATTTGAAGCCAGGAGCCAGGTGCTTCTCCTGGTCTCCCATGGGGTGCAGGGCCTAAGCACTTGGGCCATCCTCCACTGCACTCCCTGGCCACAGCAGAGAGCTGGCCTGGAAGAGGGGCAACTGGGACAGAATCCGGCGCCCGACCGGGACTAGAACCTGGGGTGCCGGCACCACAGGCGGAGGATTAGCCTATTGAGGCATGGCACTGGTCCATTCTCTGCTTCTTACTCTCTGAAAGGGGTTGACACCTCTGCTAACAGTGATAATTAGATTCCCAGGGAACCTGGAGATTGATGGCAGATAAGTCAGAAAGTGATACAGTCACAGTAGTATTAGGGTTACCACTTACTGAGAGCTCTTGAAAACATACACATGGGATCTAGTTCATTCCATTTAAGTGGGCACAGCAACAATAGAAGCAATATGATCTCGTGCTTTCTGCTGTCAGACATGGCTCCCTGACATTCATATCACTTAGAGCAGAGTCCAAACCCAGGGACTTGTCTTCATATCAGGAGGGCCTGAGACTTCATATTTAACTGGAGTATCCAATACTGTTAACTTCAAGGTGCTCAGGTGTGTGATAAGCCTAATACATACATGCATAAGCACACTTATATATGTGCCTGACTCTTCAATGTAATGGATGCACCTGTACAAACAATAAACATCTGCTTCCTTTCACCTGTTATACGCATACAGGACATTATTATGAATAGACAATTAAGAATGCTGTTAAATCCAAAGACCAGCATCACAGGTGGTAGACATACAGTCAGACAGAATATGGGAGATGTCTTATGTAACTGACATGAGGTCTAAATTCAGACCAATGTAAGGGAAACTATGAATACCAGACATGAAGGACAAGGTAGACTCGAGAAGTGGCAGCCAAAGTTGTACTCTTTCCAGCTGTGTGTCACTGCTGTTTTAGTGAAGGCTGAAACAGAATTGAGTGAAGTGTGAATATGGCTCCTGTCTTGCAAATGATGGCCCATGCCTGATGCCCACTGTATAGTTCCCCATCTTCCCTCACCCTGGCCCCCTCTCTGTGGCTACTGGACACAGTATGGCTTGTTTTAATCCATGAATAAACCTAGCTACCTAGCTATCATATTTCTCTCAGACACTTGTTTCTAAGATTGTGTTCTACCTCTATACCCTCAGGGGTAACTTCCTGGAACCCCTGTTGGAAGGCCAGAGACCATGGGAGAGGGAACTCAGCAGAAATAGACAAAGAAATTGATCAGTCCACTTTGGTTGTCCAAATGAAGGACAAGAAAGCAAGATTGGTTGACATTTATATTTATTAGTGCAGGGAATTCAAATAATTGCACAATGTCTGGGCTTGTGGATATTTGTTTTGTAGTTTTTAATGGAGTTTTTTTTCAGCCCAAGGGAGAATTCTGCCTGTGTGCTTACTGAGAGCTAGCAGCCATGTGTCCCCTCCTACAATACTCAGATGGCCATGGAGCAAGGGAGTAGGTCACATGGATTTGTAAGATTTGAACTGCTTTTTCCTTTCCTTGTAAATTAATTTTTTAAATGTCAGCATTTTAAACTTACCCTTTTCAACAAATATGATACAAAATGAACCTTACTTAATTGAAAATACATTCCTAGTTCAAAGATTTTGACCCCAAAATGAGAAATACTCTCAAAGTCCATGCCACATACATACACACAAACACACACACACACACACTCACACAAAGTGGGCTATGTGTGAAGGAAGTTGGTTTTCTCAATTAGGGCTAAGAATTTTGTACTTTAAAAATAAAATCTAGCATTCCATCAGCCTTTAGTTTTTGGTTTTTTTCAACAGCCTACGGTTTATAATGTACACTTAATCTCCTGCCTACCCATGAGAAATATAGAATCATAAGATTCTGGGAAAATTTTAAATGGACATTGTAGGTCTTTCACAGCTGCATTGTTTTTGTCATCATTTATTTTTGTGTAACATTTTATAGATGACTTATTACATGTGGTTTTTTTTTTTTTAAGTAGAGATCTTTTGAGTTTAGATGGCAAGAGAATATTTTAACCATTTCATTGATTTGATAACTGAGGCCACATAACTTGAATGAAGTCATCCAACTTATTAAAGACAAGCCAGGATTCAAGCCTGGGGAGCCTTGATTGCTTGTTATTGTTTGATATCTTGTGGTAGCTTTGATTCGCATTTCCCTGATGGCTAGTGTTATTATGCATTTTTTCATATATTTATTGGCCATTTTTATTTCTTCTTTTGAAACTCTCTATTTAGGTCCTTTCCCCCATTTCTTAATTGCAATGATTATTTTTGTGTTGTTGATTTTTTTAGTTCTTGATATATTAATCCTTATTGGAAAAGTAGCTGGCAAATAGTTTCTGCCATTATGTTTGATCTCTCTGTACTCAGCCGATGGTTTCTTTTGTTGTGCAGAACCTTCTGAATTTGATATTATTCCATTTCCTAGTCTTGCTTTTCCTGCCTGTAGTTTTGGGGTCTTATCCAAAACAGCATTGCCTATACCAATGTCTTGAAGTGGCCCCTCTGTGTTTTCCTCTAGCAACTTCATAGTTTCAGGTCATTCATTTCGATATTTGGTCAATCTTGAATAGATTAGCACCACTGAATGAAAAGTCTGTCCTTTCTCCAATGTATGTTTTCAGCAATTTTGTCAAAAATCAATTGGTTCTATATGTGTGGATTAATTTTTGGGCTCTCTATTCTGTTCCATTGATCTATATGCTTTTTTTATTTCTATAGCTTTGTAACTTTGAAATAAGATATTGTGATGCCTCCAGCTTTATTTATTTCTTTATTTTCTTCAGGATCACGTTAGTCATTGTTGGTCTATTGTGGTTCTATATGAATGTTAGGATTGTTTTTAAAATAACTTTGTAAAGAATACTGTTGGTATTTTAAATGGGAATACATCGAATCTGTAAATTGCTTTAGATAGGAGTTTTAAAGCCATCTGTGTATACCTGTTAATCATGGAGATGATAAGACAGTAACAAAGCCTGCAGTGAAATTGAATGTCAAATTAAAGCTGGTACCCAAATGCTGGAACTTTGGTATATGGTGCGCTTCCTATTTGGACAGCATCCATCTTTCCAAATTCTTGTCTGGCAGGAACTGTCAGAGGGACTGTATCATACACAGACTTTGTTCCAGCTGTAGGAGAGTTGGAGCTGCTAGGATGCCTGAGCCGGGTCCCAGGACAACCCTCAACCCCGCAGGCAGGAGCAGCCAAGCACTAACTCTTCCTTCTGACGCTGGGCTGTTTTTCAGGGTGATGTTCAGCGGACGCTCATCCAAGTGGACTTCGGTGATGGTATTGCAGTGTCTTACGTCAACCTGAGCTCCATGGAAGACGGCATCAAACACGTCTATCAGAATGTGGGCATTTTCCGAGTGACCGTGCAGGTGGACAACAGCCTGGGGTCTGACAGCGCCGTCCTGTACTTACATGTAACTTGTATGTTATTACCGTTGTTGACTTATGACATATCTTAAGTATTGTGTCCTTTTAAAATCTAATCCCAAATTTCATATCTAGAGGCATGCAGCAGTTATCTTTCAGCAGGAGAGGAACGGGAAGTAAGAGAGTGGAAGAGTGAAGCAGGGAGACAGAATGAGGAAAATCAGTGAGGGGAATAAGGATAGTCTTGGACTCTGGATTGCGTCAGTGGTTCGCATTGTATTTACTTTACCTCCTTGTAGACAGTACCTGTGCTTGGGGGTTGGGCCTGAGCAGCTTGCAGAGCTGTTTAGTTGAAACATGCATTTTGCTTCTGCTTTGTTCAGATAGAGTGAAAAACAATCCACAGGCACAGCTCAATGTAATGCAATGGGAATGAGACAACTAAAGGGATCTCTTCTCCTTCTAATTACTTTTTGTTTTCCCATGCTATGTCTCTCTATTAATAATCCTTCAAACCTTTGCTCTCTTTAAAAAAAAAAATCTCCTGAGCTTCTTTCTATGGATGATCGGGTGTTAGAGAGAAAGAGGTAGAGGGAAAGAAGTGTAAACAATGCTAAAGAGATGCATGAGGAAACATTTCCCAGCAATGCTGAACCATTTCTCCCTTTAAGGAATCTAAAAGAATGAATAAATACGATAAACTAATAATAACTTCTGACCTGTGTTAGATAACAATGTGTGTCATGAATATGCTAGCGGTGAGGGCCTCTCCCAACAGTGACAGGACATAATTTTACCAGAGAAATAGTTTAAAATGAAAATGTCCCCTTACATGAATGGCCTTGCTCATATTTTAAGTTCTAGACCAAGAGTATTAACATCCAGTATTACTGCCTGCCTCTCCCCTCCACCTTGCTGTGGAACAAAATTGAGAACACGTACTGCCAACTAGATCTGTTTGTTTTGGAAGGTGCTGTGGTCTGGTGAAAAGACAAGGCTGTGCAGGAATGCGCAAGAGACACTTTGGTTGTTGAGTATCCCGAATACATCAGCGGTTGTTGATCTTTAGCTCCTGTACACTCAGGACAGAAGTGCTTTGAAGAAGTACATATGGCCCTTTAGGGGCTTACACAAAGTGATATTTAATTTCTAGCTTGTCAGCCTGGTCTCTCCTTTAGGGCTTTCCCTGTGTGTGTCAGACCTTGAACTAAACAAGCTCTTTGTGTGTAGTATCTCACTTCTCAAACAGTCCGATGAAGTAGGCGCTATTAGAATCCTTACTGTATAAAGACCATTGTGGTTCAGAGAGCTCAAGCAACTCATCTGAAGTGGCAGAACTGCTACCTAGCAGAGCCAGGCGTCAGACTCAGGTCTGCCTTTGTCAGGAATTCCAGCTCTGCCATTCTGTAGGTGAGTGTCAGTGCCAATGGTAGCTTGGGGTTGGAAGATTTAAGTCTCCACTAGATTTTATCCATACCCCTACCCTCCATATTTTCTAATCGTCTCATAGAAATGTGACTATTTAGGTGGACGTGGACGCAGTATAGTGTATTTGCTATACAACTGCGTAAGATACTGTATAGGCTCCCTTCGTCTCACACCACCCTTCTATACATATATACAGAAATTTCCTCTAACTAATACATCAGATCTCCCTGTGTATCTGTATTTAGAGGAATGAAAGTAATGATACAGAACAATCTTAAAATCATTAAAAGTTAATGACAAGCATAATTAGCAGCAAAAATAAACATGCAATACAGATGACAGTGCATGTGTGGAGAGCAGCAGCCTATCATTTCCCATGGCCTATTCTGGGGGAGGAGGGGTGTTAAATAGCTACCATTCATGGCAATGATAATTGTTTCCCATAGCCTATATACTTATTTTGCATCTACCCTACCCCAAGCACCCAGCAGTTTCTGGTCTACATTTCTCAGCAAGTCCTCCCTTTCTCATGGGGTCCTCCATGGCTTGACCTTCTCAACACCCTGTGGGCTCTTCCTCATTATTATCCACTGAGGGGTCCACTGCTCCCCATGCTCACCCTAAAACCCACCCAAGATTTACTGAATCCTGAGAAGGAAAAAACAGCTCACGTCTCCCAAGATGGGGGCTGCTGGAGCCATGACTCCTAAAGAAATGAATGTATTTTGTTCATGTGCACTGTTTTCATTTGCTTAGCCTACTTGATTGGGAAAAATATTTGCCTGAACCTTAGTGGATGATTTACAATGGAATATTTTGTGTTCTGATTTTAATTTTGAAGACCTATCTTGGGCTGAGTAATTGGATAAACATGGCATATCATGAAGCTCTTTCCTAAGCCTCCCTTAAGGAGAAGAAATAAGGCTTTTGCACTAATTGTATTAAAACAGGATCATGTTTTAAGCTGTTAGCTCACATACTTCTAAAACCAGTGTCACTGCTTTGCTGTGCACACACTCACTTTGTTTACCTTCAGATCTGTGCCACAATAGACCACTTCACTTCAGGCCCCTTGGAGAAAACAAGGATTGGGAAAGCAGCACCATGCCTTTGTACTATTTCACATGAGGAGGAAAAGAACGTAATGGTGTCACTCTTGCAGGCATCTTCATCCTGCAGGTGTCACTCACAACATTTGGCACCAAAGTTCCAGGATTTAGAGGGAGTGGTAGGGGGGCTTTGTAGGAGAGAGAGAGAAGTACTGAGTTAGGCAAGCACTTTGATCAGGTCCAGATCCTGTCTGTAACTCCTAGGCAAGCCACTCCATCTCCCGAGCCTAGATTTTAGCCTTTCAAATCGATGTACATTTAATTCCTGAAGGCCCCATAGAGTGAAATATACTGTGCCTTGTGAACTGGGGAAACATGATTTTTCCATCATGACAACGTAGCACGTACAATTGAAGTGAGTGGATTCTGACATACAGAATTAACAACAGCTCCTAACTTGCCAGGCTGGCCCTCTGTCCTGTTCCGCTCTGCTCACTCCCTTGAGCTCTCCTAGGAAGCTTTTCCTACATAACATTCCCTCTGCTCACCAGTGCAGAAAGGTGGTTTGATTCCAAAGCAAAGGCTTTTTTTAATATGGGTTTGCAAAGGTCATCAGAAACAAATGGAGTCTCTGTTCCTGCCTTACTGTTTCCAGGAGCAGGACAGCAGCTCTCCCTGGGTAACGGGGTAATCTGTCATAGCCGGACAGTCGGAAATTCCTCAGGGACAGCATTCACTGTGCTCTGCTAGTTTGCAAACTAATGAGACACATGACACAGCTAGCATTGCCATTAGCAGGATAGGACAGAGAATTTAGAGGTTATTCAGACTTCTGCTGAAAAAGCAGCCAGACTCACAGACAAAACTCACTTAAAGACTCTATAAACTTACAGAATGGGGAGTGAGAAAGGACGAAGTAAATAGTCTAGTCCTTCCTCAACCCCTCTCTTTTAACTCCTCACTTACATATAGGAACCATGTGCTTTTCTTTCTGAACTCATCTTAGAGTAAAAATGATCCATGTATGTTGAGAAGCTGTCGTTCCCCCTGTTCGCGGAGGAACGACACAGGACCCTGCGCTGTTCTTTTGTCTGCTCGGCCCTTCCCGGGTTTGCTGCTGGTTCTTCCCGGGTTGGCTACAGACCCTTCCACCTCCGTGGAAGGGCGGCTCCCCCTAGCCACTTTCCCCACTTCCGCGGGGGAGCGGCACACCGCCGGCCAGCTCTCTCGGGAGCTGCTCGCGGGCTGCTCAGGTGTTCCTCTTAGATGTTCCTGGTGCATGTTGTCTCTCTCCTCCTTTATAGTCCTCTTCCACCAATCCCAACTCTGCTACCCACACGCCAAGTACGCTGCTCTCCTCCAATCAGGAGCAGGTCCTGCTGCTTATTGGTTGAACTGGAGGCAGCTGTGTAAAAGCTGTTTACTCCTCTCCCAGCGCCATATTGTGGGAGAGCAGATGCATAGAATAAGTCTTAATTCCAGTAACTTAGTCTAGTCCGAGTTGCTCCCCACAAGAAGCCACATAGCTTTGCACCTGAATGCACAATCATTCTATTGGTTGGCAAATGTCAGCTTAGGGTTTTGTAACGTGTGGCTTAATGAATCATCTCTCCCTGAATGAATGACTTAACTGTAGTTTTCTGCTTCCAATCTCAGACCTACTGATTTAGAATCCTGGAAGGATGGCTTCTTAACCTGCCTTGATCAGATTAGGATGACTCTTGGTACCCTGAGGCTTGAGGAGCTCTGCTTTAGCATCAGGTCTTTGTTTTCACTTTCGTTTCTTCTGAAAGCTTTTTAATATTTCAGACAAATAACAGGATGATATACAATTTTGCGTTAGGTAATTAGGGGTCTTCTGAACATAAATACTAGAGGCAGACCAGGGCAGTCAATACACATACACACACACATACACATGCACGCACAGTATGCAGTCTCACAGATGTCAGCTGGTTCCTGCAGCACAAAAGGGCTGAACAAGAAAAGAGAAGGGAATCCCAGTTCACAGGAATACATGTTAAATCGAGTTCTCACTATCACCTTGCCTGGAAGATTCATATGGAGTGACGCAGCGCCACCTGCTGTCCATTCTGTGTGTCTGATCCAGCAGCATCTGCCAGTTTGTGCAACTCTAAGCTTACCACAGCCAGCCAGTTGGGGGCCTGCCAAGGCTGGCATTTGGCATACTGCACCCTCTGTGCAGAATAGACGCTTCAAAGGTAGTCTTTTGGCCAGCAGGAGCCAGGTGTTTTAAATCCATGTAAAGTGCACGTATATACAAGAAGCTGTAGGGATCTGAAAGATAAATTTGACACATGTCATATGACATATATGCATGTGCACATGAACTTATGCAGACACACCCATATACATTTCATGGTTTACAGACCATTGTACAACATACAAGGTACCCTCAGTAGCTCTAAGACCTCATTGGCTCCGCCCTTGCCCTCCATTTCTCCTCTGCTGCTGTTTGTCTTGGCAGTCACCCAACTTGGTAGGCACACCTCCTTCTCACAGCCTTTGCACAGCCCTACCCCTACCCTCACAATGTAGCACTTCAAAGAGACATTTGGTGCAGTCTTCCACTTTCTTCACATGCTCCTACAAGTTCGTTTATTCTGCAATGCCTTCCGCAACCACCCTAACGGAAACAGCTCTCTCTCATCTACCCCTGCTCTGTGTGTTCAGTGCCTTCCTCCCTCAGAGACACCTAGTGTGAGTACCTCAGCACCTGTAATAATATCCAGCACATAGTCAGCCCCAGAAACTCCTGAATGAATGCTTGGCCATGTTTCACTAATGAGTTCCAGGTGTTTGTGATTGCCACACTGACTCACACTGTCCCTATTCTAATGTTCTGACTTTTTAAATAATTGGATTGTCATGCGTGGAGACGAGGATGGAAGCTGTATTTCTAGCATGGCTTATCTGGTTCTTGTATGCTGACTGATTCATTTAACTCAGATCAGGGAGTCTGGGAGAGTGTCGTGTCACAGAGGTGTAGGTGCTGGCACTGAGACTTGAAGACTGACAGGTGCTGTAACAAAGGTGTACAAACAGAGGCCTTGGGGCAGACGAAGGCTTGGCCTGCTGCTGCTGACTGTTATGTGGGAACAGCAAGAGCCGTGCAACAAATGACAGCAAGAGCAAAGTGCATTTTTTAATACCTGGAATATATTAACAGGGAGCTCTCCATCCACTCTTGCATGCTTCCAGCCTAGGCAAGCTTGACCAAAGCACAGTGTGTTTCAGGCTCCCCTAACCAAGCCACTTTGCCCTCACATGCACACACACACACACACACACACACACTTCCACATTCATACCAGTCTTTACAGTCTAGTAAGTGGTGAGGGCTTATTACATATAACATACTTTTGGGATTTATCCACACTCTCCTCGTCCCGTCAACTTGGATGCTACAAGTTCTTCATGATCCAGATTTAACACCAAGGGAGGAACCTCTTGGAAAGACTCAGTATCTCCCTGTGAAATTTCGTGTTATACCTGTTCATTTAAGGGCCTCATAAATTACTTGGAAATTGGTAACGTTCACACAGTATGTAGCAGAGTTTTTGAACATGATGGGAAATGTTGGAATGCAATAGTTCACAGTGTGTTCTTCTCGGTAAAGCAGGGAAAGCGGCTGAGCACCCCATCAGGCTGCCGTGTTTCAGAGGCAATGTGTGTTCTCTTCAGAGCTGAGGAAGCTCCTCCTTTTCTATGGCCCCTCTTTCTCTTGTGTCTCAGGTCCCTTGGAGCACGTGCACCTGTCTCTCCCCTTTGTCACCACAAAGAACAAAGAAGTCAACGCGACTGCAGTGCTGTGGCCCAGCCAAGTGGGCACGCTGACTTACGTGTGGTGGTACGGAAACAACACGGAGGTGGGTCTGCCTTCCGAAGTGTTCAAAGGGCTAAAGCTTATCTCCCATTGGCTGATGCAAAAAAGGGAGTGAAATGACTTAGACGGAAGAGTCTGAAAGAAGTGCTAGCTTCAGGGACAAGAGACTGACGGTACTCAAATATCTCATCAGTCTGTGTGTCTCTCTGTCTCTGTCTCTCTCTCTCTTTGTTTTATTTATTTGAAAGGCAGAGTACAAAGAGAGAGAGGGAGAGACAGAGAAAGAAATCTTGCATCTGCTGGTTCACCCTCAAATGGTCGCAACAGCCATTGCTGAGCCAGGCCAAAGACAAAAACCAGGAACTTCTTCTTTGTCTCCTACGTGGGTGCAGGGGCCCAAGCATGTGGGCCACCCTCCATTGCTTTCCCAGGAGCATTAGCAGGGAGCCGGATCACAAGCAGAGCAGCCGGATCTCACCATTGCCCATGCCAGCAACATAAGCGATGGCTTTAACCATCACACAACAATGCAGGCACCAGCATCCTCTCTTTGGCATTCTCTCTGGCTCTGGCTCTTGATACCATCCCCCTCCCTCCCTCTCTCCTACATCTTACTGTTTTTTTCTCCACCTTCCCTTTGGTTGGCATTCTTCTCAGGTCAGACTGTTTTGCTGCAGTGATCCTTAGCAGCCTGGTTTAGCAGAGAAGTTTAGCTCTATTTCCTGAATGTTCTGAGCGAAATCCTGGAATTGAGTCTCACTGGCCAGGCCTTGATGGCAGTGCCAGAAGTGGAGAGGGAAGTGTTGAAGTCAGCCTCCTGGGAGCCACATGAACAAGAGGAGGCAAGAAGTGGTTACCAAAAGGAAAAAGAGGCAAATGGGTCTGGATAGGCAGAAGCAACTGGTCGCCATCACACCTCATGCCACCCCCTCCTTAAAGGCCTCCTCGTTCTAAAACAGAAGTGGCCATTTGCTGAGATCACCTTTACTGTTGTGTTTTCTCCACGCTCCCTGTGCACCACAGTCAGCCGTGATGGTGACCTGTAGAACCCGTAAACCTCACCTGCCTCAGGTGCTTCCAATTGCACATAAGAGAAGTGAGGACGATGCAGTCCGAGTGGCTCCAGTCTCTTGCTCTTGCCTCATATAAGACCAAATGCAAGGTGCTCTGGGGCCTGCTTTAAGTTTTCTCCCCCCAAACCCTCGTGGTCTGAACCCACTCCATTCTCCACAGGTCCAGTGCCTCCTTGTGAAAGTCGGGCAGGAAAGCCGAGGTCCTCAGACATCGCTCCCCGAAGGGCATTGGCTGCTCCGGCCTGGAAGGCAGAGCATCTGCAGCAGAGTGGCTTTCGCCTTGGCTTGTGCCCTTCAGACTCAATGCGTCTTAGTTTAATAAAGACATTTTTTCTACCCTAAAGCTAAAAGTTACCTTTAACTGGAGACATAATTTTGCACAGGGCCAGGGAGGAAGCCCCTCCTGAACCTATGTCTCCTGAAAAGTGTAGAGAACCTCTCACTTCTGTTGCTACCATAACTAAGCACATAAGAAGCCCCTTTTTCTTTTTCTCTTCTTAAAGGTTCATTTACTTATTTGAAAGACAGAATTTCAGGCCGGTGCTGTGGCGTAGCAGATAAAGCCGCCGCCCGCAGTGCTGGTATCCCGTACGGGTGCCGGTTCGAGTCCCGGCTGCTCCACTTTTGATCCAGCTCTCTGCTATGAACTGGGAAAGCAGTAAAGAATGGCTCAAGTCCTTGGGCCTCTGCACCTGTGTGGGAGACCTGGAGGAAGCTCCTGGCTCCTGGCTTTGGATCGGCGCAGCTCTGGCTGTTGTGGCCATCTGGGGAGTGAACCAGAGGATGGAAGGCCCCCTACCCCATCTCTGCCTCTCTGTAAATCTGCCTTCAAATAAATAAATAAATCTTTGAAAAAGAGAGTTTCAGAGAGAGAAAGAGGGAGAGACAGAGAGAGGGATCTTATATCTGCTGACTCACTCTCCAAATGGCCTCAATGGCCAGGGCTGAGCCAAGGCAAAGCCTGGAGCTTCTTCTAGGTCTCCTAAATGACTGTCAGGGGCCCAAGCACTTGGGCAGTATTCTGCAGCTTTTCCCAAGCCATTAGCAGGGAACCGGATGGGAAGTGGAGCAGCCAGGACACAAACTGGCACTCATATGGAATGCTAGCATCACAGGTGGCAGCTTAACCCTATACACTACGATGCTGGCCCCAAAGGCTCTTTAAAAAAAAAAAAAAAGATCTATTTTATTTATTTGAAAGACAGAGTTACAGAGAGAGGTAGAGACAGGGAGAGAGGTCTTCCATCTGCTGGTTCACTCCGCAGATGGCCACAATGGCCAGAGCTGCACCGAACCGAAGCCAGGAGCCAGGAGCTTCTTCTGGGTCTCCCAAATGGGTGCAGGGGCCCAAGGACTTGGGCCATCTTCTACTGCTCTCCCAGGCCATAGCAGAGAGCTGGACTTGAAAAGGGTCAGCTGGGACTGGAACCAGTGCCCAAGGGGATGCTGGAGCTTCAGGCCAGGGCTGTAACCCACTGCGCCACGGTGCCGGCCCAAGGGCCTTTTTTCAAAGCATCTACAAAGAAGCATGTAAATTTGTCCCATAGTAGGCCCACTATCTACAGTGGCAAAGAACAACATTAAATTATTGGCCCGGAAGCTAGTGCTAGAAGGTGGAAGTGCTAAACAACTTTCATCTGGGACTTCTGTTTCCTTTATCTTTTACAATAAAGCCAAATTCTCAACAGACCTTACTGAGAAGACTTCCTATGCTAGGCTTTAGTCTTCTGTCTGCCCGAGAATTAAATGAGTTTTGATTTTTAAATTAATTAAGAAAAGATTGGGGAACAGTGTTAGTGAGGAGTGAGTCGAGGGAGGTCAGTGAGCTAACGTTTTTTTCCTCTAAGACCTGCATCTGGTTGTATTACAGGCACCACTCCAAAGCATCTTTTTTTCCATCCTCAAACCACTATCCAATTAGTGCGTGTTTCCAAAGCAGCTAATTTAAGAAGGCCATCGGTGAGTCTTCTTAGAAGAAGGCAGCTCAGGGCCCACACCTTGGCACAGTAGGTTAATCCTCCACCTGCAGCGCCGGCATCCCATATGGGCACTGGTTCTAGTCCTGGCTGCCCCTCTTCCAGTCCAGCTCTTTGCTATGGCCTGGGAAAGCATTAGAGGATGGCCCAAGTCCTTGGACCTCTGCCCCCACATGGGAGACTAGGAAGAAACTCCTGGCTCCTGGCTTCAGATCGGTACAGCTCCGGCCATTGCAGCCATTGCGGCCATTTGGGGAGTGAACCAATGGAAGGAAGACCTTTCTCTCTGTTTGTAACTCTAACTCTCAAATAAAATAAATAAAATCTTTTTTTTAAAAAAATAGAAGAAAAAGAAGGCAGCTCACAAGGCCACTCCTATCCCACTAGTGGCTAGAATTTCTAGGCTCCATTCTAACTTTATATAAATGGTACACTCTGGAGAGGAACACTTAACAGCTTATAGATTTCTAGTGTCCACTGCTTAAATCTGTAGAATAATTTTAATGTCTTCTGTTCTCATTTGATTTGAATATTTCCTTGGCTTAAGGAATCTGCTTGACACAAGTAGGTTATGTGGAAGGAGATATGTGTATCTCACCAGCAAGTGAGACCTATTGATGTCCCCAGCCCTCAGCCAGGATGACGCCAGGACAGAGGTTTCAAGTTCATGAGGCAGAGTGACTTAGCGTTATTGCTTCTGTCACCTGCTTCCTGGCCTGCACTGGAGGTGATGGGGAAGAGGCAGAAGTGGACTCAGTTCCACTGTGGTGCACCAAGATGAACACCTGCTGAGTTTGCCAGCTGGGGTTGGCTCAGAGCCAGTGGCCTTGTGGACTGTCACTAAACAGCTTTCCTTTTACACTGTGCCCTTGTTTATTTTAGCCCTTAATCACCTTGGAGGGAAGTATATCATTCAAGTTTACTTCCGAAGGCATGAATACCATCACAGTGCAGGTCTCAGCTGGGAATGCCATCCTGCAGGACACAAAGACCATTGCGGTGTATGGTGAGTGCCCGTCGTGCTCGCGTGAGGTGATCTAGTGCTGTAATAAGACCAGGGACCGCCCTGGACCGTGGCTTTCACCAACACAGTGCAAGACAGTAGCTGCGAAGGAGTTGAGACCAGCCTGGTCCCCTCCTTAAGTGAAATGGGAGCCACCAGCCGTTTGCAGCCACAGGATCCCATAAGTGTTTGTTTTGTTTTCCTACAGTTGGTCTGCTGCACATAAAGTGACTGTTTGCTCATTCACCTAAGGTAGGGGAGAGTGAGTTTCATTAGAAGACTAACTCCTTTTTGCTTGAGATTGCAGTGGGATTTACATAACAAAGGCCACTTATTAAAGAACATGGCTGATGTTCAGTGTTCAAATTCCTCACTCTAAGGAAAATATACCATTATCTAGATCCTATAAAAATTTCTTCCACAAATCCATATCATTGAAAAAAGAAGAAGAAGAAAGCAACTAGGTGAAAATTGATGGAGGGGCCATGGCAATTGGATATTTGCATGGTTGTAGACTGGATATTTATTTGAACAGACAGCTACACAGGACAATTTTTGATCAACTGGAAGCATGAACATGATTAGAAGATTAAGTGGAATGGAATGGAAAGGCAGAATCATGGATTGAAAAATGGGAGGATAAAGGCAGGTGATACAGGTTGATCTAACTTAGAAATTTCTGCATAAAGACAATCAGGTGGATATGAGCTAAGTATTACTAATGGATGGTGAATATATAAACAGTTTTTTTAATCATGGTAAGAACACTTAAGTACTATCTGTGTCATGGAACGTTTTAATTTGGAAAGCAAGAGTTTTAAATTATATAAGGAACGTGCTGTGGTGAGAGAGCGACAAGGAGTAGGGGAGGATGCCAGATGGTGGGGCTGGCTGTGATCCCAATAATATCAACTGTCCCAGTCCCAGACTTAATCGAATCTGATGAGTTGACTCATTGCTGGGTTTTCTTGTGGGGAGTCTGCTGTTACCCATTTGAACTTAAAAACCAGAAAATAATTTGTGAACAACTTTGTACACACCAAGGTCCAAAAGTCCTCAAGAACACCATTCCTTACATGGGTAAGTGTTGTGTTTTGTATTTTTCTTTCTCTTCCTCTCTCAGGAAGGGGTTTGATTAGTCCAGGTATTAAGAGGAAGTAAGCCAGGACTATGATTTTGTCAGTGGGGTCCCCTCCATGAAGTGGGCTTTCAGCCCAGTGGGCCAGCAGAGGATGGACATTGCAGGGAGTTTTTGCTTCTCTTTCATTCTCCTTCTCCTTTCTTGTGACAGGAATGTATTTAATCTGATAGCAGTCATCATCCTCATTTTTCAGAGGCAAATATCTTGTCCCCACTAGTAAGTGGTGGAGAGGAGCTTTTTTTTTTTTTTTTTTTTTTTTTTTAACTTTTATTTAATGGGAGAGGAGCTTTGAACTCAGCCTATCTAGACCCGGGCCCATGCTCTGACATGGTCCTCCCCACCCGATTTTCATTTCATTACTGGATCAGAAGTCCTTGTCTTCACACAAGAAAAGAATTTCAGATGTGAGACAGTAGCAGTAAGAGAGATAACTGAGTTCAATGAAAAGAATATGCTTGAGAGACCAGCAGGCATCTGGGCAAAGAAGGGAATGCCCAGTCTGCTTTCAGATGGGAATTTTATAGACATGGACCCATCATGTCTTCTCCCTCCCCCCACCTCTTTTTCTGGGATATTGCTGGGCTTTCTAGATGCACAATTCATGAAATTCTGCCCAGGACTTTAAGAAGACTATGATTAGAGATGGAGGATGGAGGACTTTCCCCCTAGTTACCCACAGGATGGAGAACTTTCCCCCTAGTAACCCACAGGGGAGGGTTGGGACCCACGTACTAAGCTTGTGGAACATCGGCAAAACTTTCAGTGCACAATTGCTGGTCTACTCTCAATGTGTGCTTCCATGTGTCTTCCCTCACTCAACCACACCAAATTCAGTTTTGCTCTTCAGCCCCTTTTGTATAAAGGGCTGATGTCTGCCTTGCTACCTAACAGCTTCTTCTCCATGGACTCCATGTTCTTTTTTCTGTCTATCCGTGCTGCATGTCACAGGTCACACTAATGTGCACTAACCCATGAGCCCGTAAGGGGTCCTCTTGTTTAAGCCTGTCGACCATGACCTAGTTAGAATCCCAGAGAAAACCTTAAATTTGGAAGGTGTTTAGGCTTATTTAGTGCAGCCTGGCCTATAACAGTAAGAAATGTGGCCCAGACATGAAACATTACCGCCTTAAAGTCATTTTCCTGTTTAGTGACAGTTCTGGTAACAATAATGGTGGCAGCATTAGTAATTACATTGATGAAGTTCTGAGTAGTCACTAGCATCCATTTCTAAACAACAGATGGAGATGATGTTCTAGTGAGTACTCTGAATGGATTTGGAGAAATATTGTATACTTATCCCTGATTTATAGGTGAGAAAACACTAAGCAGAAAAACCAGAGTGGAGGAACACTGAAACCAATGGGGACATTTCCAGCACCTTGCTCCCACCTCACTATGCTGAGTTTTTCCTCTTTGAACAGTCTCTCTAAAGGTGTCTTCTAAGGGTGGGTCACCCTCCATGGAATGGGTTGTCACCTGTCTCTAAAGTGGAAACCTGGGCAGAGGAAGTAGTGGCCTCCTCTCACCAAATTCCTCATCAGACATCCTTAATTCATCTGCAGCCAGTGAGCTGCCAGGGTGAGAGTGACCAGAGAGTGGATTAAACTTGTTCAGTGGATTGCTGCTTAGGGAATTGGGTTTCCTACCAACCATGGAGAGATAGAGACACTGTTTTTTCTTGATGATTGTATTTCCAAAGAATGGTTCCCAGGTCCTTAAGAAAGACTTGGGTAACCTGTAGAAGATTTACATCTCAAAGGTTAGGGTAAGGAAGAGGGAGGCCTTAGGAAACCTGTCAAAGGGTGAAGGCCTCCAGATCAGACCTAAGGAAGCATCCTGTTTAGAAAGGTGACAGAGGAAGCCTTGTCTTCCCAGAACATTTGCATTGTTCTCCCTGATTTACTCCAGGGCACAGGTTTGCTCTTAAATAAATTTTTAAATGAGGTAAACGTGTAGAATTTATCTTTGTCAGTAGCTGCAAAAATATGTCTGATTGGTATTTACCCTTTTCAGTCCTACCACGAGCATCCCTTATTTGTTGAATAAACTTCAGTGTTACATTTCTCTCCTGTTCCCCTATCCTGCCATGTTGTTATGCTAAGTAATTACAGAGGCAGCTTCATAGTTACTCATTTGTGTCCTTTTATTAAGATAAACATCTCCCCTCATACTTGAAATCTTTGTAGTTTGGCAGAAGTTGTGGAGAAAGTGGGAGTGAAGTAAACTTTGACCTCCAGCGTCTTGGTGAAGACGCTTCAGGACTTGGTGGGTGAATCGTGGGTGCGGCCGCTTACCATATGCATTTCATTACTCTCCTTCAGAACTGAGTCAGTGATATTCACATGGGTGGCCAGTGACTCATAAAATAGTCAAACTTTAAAAAACACATTTTGGAAAAAGGGTAACTCCCATAAATGCACACCTTGTGATGGAAGAGTCCTTGAAGTACGTATTGAAGAACTCCTTGGCATTGTTAGGAAAGGCACAAGCAGGCTTTTGTGCTTCCTGAATGCATATTTGGTGTTAGCAATGTTGCTCAGTGTTAGTGCTTACCACTGAAACACAAGGACATGCTTAAAGCAAGAAATGTGTATTGAATCAGTAAGTGCATGACTTGCAGCAAGCCTCCACTGTAATTTAAGCATTTCTTTAATCAACAAACATTTATTGAATAAGTGACTCATAGACAGTAATTCAAACCTAACCATGTGCAAGGCACTGTCTCTCGGGAGGAACACAGAGCCTTGGTTGTCACTGGGCTTGGGAGACATACAATGAAAACAGAATCGTTTCAATAGCAATAAGTATGAAGAAGATAAATGTGGTCCAGTGATGAAGGTGCCGGGGCAGCAGGAGGGAAGCCATCTGAGGTTGGGTAGTCAGAAAGCCCTCTCGTAGGCTGGGCTGACAGTGAAAAGGAGCTGAGCATGCTGCAGTCTGAGAAGTGGAGGTGGGCTCTTGGCGGAGGAGTACAGCAAGGCGGAGGAATCCAAGGAAGAACAGGGTCCTGGGGCACGAGGAGTACAGGGAAACCTATGAGGACATAAGGTCGGCACACAGGTACACAAATCTGCATCAGGTTTTGTGGGCCTTGGAAAGCCGTGCTAAAAATCTGGATTCTATTCACATGCACCGTGAAGCCATCAGCAGGTTTTAGGGAAGCGACGTTATCTGCGTATACCATGAGATGAGCACTGGAGTGAGTCAGAGGGTGTTTTGGCTGCAAAAATGGGCTCCACCAATCTCCAACTACAGGGAGTGTAGTTGACCAAGGTCCCCAGGGTTATGTTCTGGAACCATGGTAGGCCCAAGACCACACCTTCCAGAAACAGAGCCAGCAAAGAGAGGCAAACAGCTGGAGCCACACCTGGCACACAGGAGACTCCTCTGTTGGCTATTTGACCTTGGCTCAAGACCTCCCAATAGTCATGTGTTGCCTTTCTCAGACTACAGGGCAGTCATTTAATCCCATTTGCTCCATGAGTGTTGTGGTCTAATGGTTCCCCAAGTTTCCCCCACTTCCTCCCCATTTTCTCGCACAAACAGTTCCTCTCCTAAAAGTTTTTCATGTTTCATTACTACCCAGCATCCTGAAGTACCAAGATTACCTGAGGGACAACAGAAAACTAAAAAAAATCCCCAAACTCGGGAGCTTAAAATTTTGTTGAATGAAACTTCCACATAAGCAAAAGATGGAAATAGAATGACTGTAGTAATAATTATGCCATCATACAACAATTATAATTATACAATCATAAAATGCAAAAGTATGCATAAAGCACAGTGGTGCTTGAACTAGAGTTTGAATGTTTTGGGCACAGGCAGTGGGGAGAGTCAGGCATTCTAGGTTTTAGGAATAATCTGTGCAAAGGCCTGGGGTCTTAAACCTGCCCAGCATGCAAGGTCCTCTGGATCATTTCATGTTGAGCAATACAGAGTCTAGAACTGGTATGAAGGGCAAATGCTGCAGAGCTGGGCCGGGGCCAGAATCTAAGGTTTGGTTTAGAAAGGGATGAATCAATGAAATAATAATCTTGGGATAATAACTTTGCCTTCTAGAAGGGTCTCTCTGATGAGTGTGAAGGGAAGGACCCTCCGATGAGGGCTTTGCATGAAATACAAGGTCGAACAGACTTTTTGAAGGAACTCTTTGACTTGTAGTAATGCACTTACTGTTGTATCCCCAGAGGAATTCCGGTCTCTTCGCTTGTCATTTTCTCCAAACCTGGATGACTACAACCCGGACATCCCTGAGTGGAGGAGGGACATCAGCCGAGTCATCAAAAAGTCCCTGGTAGAAGTGAGTGCCAGCAATTCATTGTCATGCTCAGACACCTTTCCTCTCTACAGAGGGAGCCCTTGTGCAAGGAAAAGACAAGAAAGAGCTGGAACCAATGGGAAGTCTCATTAAGCCAACTGACACCTTCACAGATGAGCCCCAAACCTGCAGGCATATCAAGCCCAGTCTGGGAGGAAATGTAACCACGAGCAAGCCTGTGGCTCTTGTTCCCTAGGACATTTACCGTACTCAGAGAAGGACTTGGTCTCTTGTGACAGTTACACAGCAGAGTTCATGATTAGAGCGTTAGTCAGTATGGAATCAGCTGCAGTGTGGTGTAAGTGGTCTCAGCATATGTAAGTCCTCAGGGGTGAGTGTATAGCAACAGCAGCCTTGGACTCCACCCCCACAACTTTTAGTACAGGAATAGGGTGGGCACTCAGTTGCTGATGTTTTAGACCTGGTTCTGTATCCCAGTTCCTTTTTTTTTTTTTTTGACAGGCAGAGTTAGGCAGTGAGAGAGAGAGACAGAGAGAAAGGTCTTCCTTTGCCGTTGGTTCACCCCGCAAATGGCCACCATGGCTGGCTCGCTGTGCTGATCCAAAGCCAGGAGCCAGGTGCTTCCTCCTGGTCTCCCATGCGGGTGCAGGGCCCAAGCACTTGGGCCATCCTCCACTGCACTCCTGGGCCAGAGCAGAGAGCTGGACTGGAAGAGGAGCAGCTGGGACAGAATCCGGCGCCCTGACCAGGGCTAGAACCCAGGGTGCCAGCGCCGCAGGCAGAGGATTAGCCAAGTGAGCCGTAGCACCAGCCTGTATCCCAGTTCTTCTCTCAAGACTTTTCTCTCCTATGATATTGCCAGGAGAAAGCTATTACTAGACTCTCTTCATGGAACAGGTGACTGAGATTCTGAGAAGTTAAGTAACTTTCCAAAACACTCAGAGCCAATAGAAGGGGAAGCCACAAAATTAGAAGGAAGGGCTGAAGTGCGGTGTCTTTACATGTGCATCATGGCCTCCTAACGTCAGGGAATATCAAAGTGTTGAGGTTTGTTCCCCTGTGAGCAAGTGGCACTGACAATTGACAAGATACTTCTTTTACATGTGTCTTCTCCTACCACTCCACTTTCATGACTGAACAGAGATATGGGATTGCTGCTTGTGGCTTCTTGGACTTACTGCACAAAATCAGGCATTCAGAGGTGACCTAACTTTTCCTAGGATATTTTTGCAGCCAGTAAAGAAAATCAGTTCAGACTATATATGTTTTTTTTTTTCCTGCTCCCAACCCATGGTGCTACTTGACACAAAGAGATGATGGGATAAAAAGCATTCAAATAACCCTTGCTTAGAAAAGAGATCTCACACATAACCTGTTGGCAAAGATCTGGGCTTCCCATCTTCAGACCATTACTTCTTTTTGTATATATTTGGCACTCGACAATATCCCAGACACTCTTTTCGGTGCTTTGAAATATTCAACACAGGTAATCCCAAAATAACTGCATGATGTTGGTACTATGATTATTACTATTTTACAGGTGAGGAAACTGAACTTAGAGCTATTAGATACCTTACCTAAGGTCATGTACTTAAAAATCGGGTTCTGGAGTCAGATCACCAAGGTTTTGTGCTCTTGTTTTTGTGGTTTCCTACTCACTCTACCCTGTTGCCATCATTTGCCTTATTATGAGGAGGAACAGGGGTGAATGGAATACTGGGGAGGATAAGAAACATTGTCACGTCTCTGGATAGAAGTCATCTGACTTCTGTCTTGACGGCTTTCCACATCAGTGATACTATCGATGTTTAAATATGATGGCCACCAGGAGACACAGCTACTAAACCTTAAGCCCAACTACAATATCAGTTTCTGCTTGTGCAGTCATCTGTCCTGGTTTCTCTCCTATGCTCTCCAAGAGGGAGCAGACTTTATATATATATATATATATATATATATATATATTTTTTTTTTTTTTTTTTCATTTGACGGAGAGAGAGAGAAAGACACACAATATATTCTATCTGCTGGTTCACTCCCCAAATTGTTAGAACAGTTGGGACTGAGCCAGGGTAGAGTCAGGAGCCTGGAGCCTGGAGCCTGGAACCCAATCCAGGTCTCAGATTGAAGCAGGGACCCAACTACTTGAGCCATCACCAGCTGCCTCCCAGAGTGCACATTAGCTTGAAGATAGAATTAGAATTGGAGCTTGGACTTCAACCCAGGTACTAAGATAGAGAATGCAAGTGTCCCAAGTGGTGTCTTAATGTTGGTGTGAAATACCCACTCTAGAGTTTTCCCTTTAAGTGAATGCACCGCCCAGCTCCTTCAGTCCACAGTGTTGCTGTGACTCATGTCCCTGTAGGTCTCCCAGCCAGCTGTACAGCTTTCCCAGGTGACTTATGAGCAGGGCATTAGCTCAGCAGTGGCCAGCCTTTCAGGCTGATTTCTCTTCACACTAGCGTCTAGGGATCAGATGCCCTGGGCCTATACCTTCGACCATCTGTCCAGTAGGCTAGAAACTACTACTCCTCAATATTTCTAGACTTCTACGCAGCATAATCAGACAAATGCAGACTACAATGTTTGGCTCAGCATTCCTCGGGTCAGGATGGTGGTGGTAGAGCGGTAGCAATTTTCAGTTTCCATGGCTCTTTAGTTATCCAATCCCAAGAGGCATCAGACCTAGTGCATAGTTCCTAGTGCCCCACGCCATCTTTGAAATCAGTAATTACACGCGGCCACTTTTTAAGTCATAGGGGACTTATTGCCAAGTGTACCTAACACAGGGTACAACGTAGAGTCAATTTAGTTGCAGTTTTCTTCCTAGTCATTATTAGATGGAATTTGCTGTACAATTGATTGCTTTTAAAACTGATGAGGGGAGTTTGGGGGGGGGGAACAAGGGAGTGAGGGAAGTGTGGTTGTCTTCTTGGAACGGTACTTAAGGAATGTGTGAAATCTGTTCTCTTTATATTAATAAAAGTTTTAAATAAGAAAAAAAAGGAAAAGTTTCATGCTTTCCTGCCTCCCATAGTAAGTATATGCACTTTCTGTACTTTTTAGCTCAACTAGGGCACTCATGAATAAAACAGTTAAAATTTTGGCTTCTTAAAAAAATGTATTCCATTTTTCCTCATCAGATTGGATTTTGGTAATGACATTTCACCATTAAATTGTTAATTTAATGTCATTCGATAAAATTTTTTGTGTATATTGAAGATGATTCAGAAATAATATTTGAATTTATAATCTAGCAAGATCGTAAAACAATATGGGGTTAGTTGCAATAGGAGCTAGTGTGTGAAGTGTGTCGGGAGAGGGGTGCATCCAGCATGGGTTACCATCATTGGCTTCACAGCCAAATGAAGCTTCCTAAGTTTATAATTCACCACATCCTAGATGGCGTTGAGTCACTGTTTAACAGGCCTGTGGCTATGGTCTTTCTTATGGTAGAAACAGAGCTGCAGTGCCCAAGTCCCTGTTTAGGGAGACTTGTCGCCTTGGATGCTGAAATTGCTATGAGCAGAGGCTTCAGCTGCCTTTTCCTGTCACTTCCCAGAGTGGCTCATCTCCATGTCCACTGATGGACTGGTTCAGTTACCGGGCCAACACAGCCCAGCTTAGGAGCGCTCTGAGAGGCCACCATTCCTCTGCCTCTTGAGGCTGTCGTTGAGCCAAGATGGCAGTCAGTCTGCTTCATTCCCATTGATGTTGTTACCAAGAATGTGTCTGGGCACCACAACCTGTGACATGTTGTCATCTGTGAAGTGTGGCATAAAATGCTTGTTTCAAAGGGTTGTTGTGGGGTTTGCATGAAATAACATTACTAAGTTACTTAGCACATAACAGGGATCCACTGCATCGAATTTATTGGTACTCTAAGAAAAGGTACCAAAGTGGAGATTAGAAACAATTCCCTAATTAAGAAATTATAAAATATCTACTAAAATAAGTGGAGTTATGTCAGCTCATCAGAAGATGAACACAGTTCTAGCAACAGACTTAGAAAACAGACATTCTGGGGGAAGATGTTATGCACAGCTACACTTGAAGGAAAAGGCTAGGAGTCTGAAAATGTGAATCCTTTTCCATTTGGCTGGAGCATAAGAAGCTGGAGTAAGTTGTGCATAATTTGTTTGAATGTGCAGGACCCCTCTGCAGAAGGTCTTGAGAATTTAATTAATCTGGTTGGAAGTGAGAATGACTGCAAGCATTTGGGACAAGGGAACATCATTTGAGTAGGACTGTAGGAAGGTAAATATGGAGGTAGCAACCTTCCTCTTGGAGTGTGGAGGCAATTGTAAAACTTTACAAGAGAGCACATAAAGGCTGAATTGTGATATGAACGATGAATATTTAAACAGGAAGAAACCATTAGGATCATTGTGTTGGAAGGTAAATTGTTAAGGTATCACAAAATGCTGAGATATGACAGAAACAGAGTTGTGTCACAGGTAAATGTAGATCTTCAAGCTAGGTTATGTGAGAGAGACTGCTTTGGGTCACTCACCTAAATGTAGAATGAAGATTTGAGGGGTGAAAATTAGAAATCTTTTTTTAGTGTGTTTTTTTTTTTTGGAAGTCATAGTGAAATAGTATTTTGACTGTCTTCGAGAAAAAGAACCTCAGATAATAACTGTTGATTCTAGAATCATCCATAGAAGGTCTCAAGACAAACCCTGAGGTACAAGCTCAAGAAAAGGAGGATAATTAAGATGAACACAAAGTTCTTGAGTGATCTGTATGAGAGTACTTCAAAAAGTTCATGGAAATTTGAATTAAAAGGTAGTTTAGGATGGTGCAAAATTATTAAAATCTATGCATCATTTTTTCATAGTTTGTATTTTCATGAAATCCATCACATGCGTGGATTTCAAAGAAAAAAAACTTGCACCAAAATAAACATCTTTTAATTTCATTTTCTATGAATTTTTGACATGACTTCATTTGATTTTATTATAAGCATGGCCAAGTGAATGAGATGAGAGTGCTTCATAAAGTAGGGTTGGTCACTAGCTTTTGACACGGCGGAGAAGAGATAGATGCTTCCTGAGCATTGTTATAGGAGGTTGGGTGATGAGGATGCTATTGTTCAGCTTGAAGAGTAATTCCAGTGGAGTGATAAAGGAGGAAGCTTGGCTGGGAAGGTCTAGGCGGGAGGGGCAGATGATAAAGGTTAGTAAATGGGGGTCTTTTCACTGGCAAGAGCCACTTCCTGGAGATGTTCTTGAGGAAGAAGGGTTAACATCTGAATTCCTAGGGATCATGTCTAATTCATTTAATTCTCAAACTCATCCATTAACAAGGCAGTTACTACTGTTTCCTGGTTTATCTTTAAGGGCTAAAGGCACTGAAAACGTAAGAGGCATGATGCAATTCTTAGAGTTGTGGAGCTGGGATTGATCTCAGACAGTCCGACTCTGGAGTGGCACTTGGGGCCAGTGCTGTCTCCAGTGCACTGCCTGCCTGATGCACCTAGGTTGCAGCTTTCCTATCCCTGGCCACCCAACTGAGTCTTCCAGACACCTACCACACTTCAAATACCTGGCCCTCTCTTCGTTCTTTTCCACAGGACTTACATCAGTCTCTGTCTCGCCCTCAGGCCACAGGCATTCCAGGCCAGCACATCTTGGTGGCCGTGCTCCCTGGCCTACCTACCGCCGCTGAGCTCTTTGTCCTGCCCTATCAGGATCCAGCAGGAGAAAGCAGAAGGTCGCCTGAAGAGCTTGAGCAGGTGAGTCCCCAGGAAGGATTTCCTAGGAGTCAGCTCAGCTTCTTCCTGTGGGCTGAGCCGCACCCACTGCTGAGCTGACCACAAGCGGCTTGGCTCACAGAGATTTCTAAGGAATTGACTTGGACTTAGGGCACCTGCTGTGTGTAGAGTCTTTGACTTTCTGTTCCTTTGTTTTTCATCCATAAACTGATGACCCTAACCACACCTTCATCAAAAAGCACACATAACAGTGTTTATGGTGGGGAATGGCTAAATGATTCACACTATGGCCTGCTATGTGGGAAAAACAGTGCAAGATTACTGGGGAAAAAAAAAGCAAGCAAGCAAGGACGAACAATGCGTACATGAGGAAATCGTTTAATCTTACTTTACTCACTGTCATCATCAGGGTGTCATGAGAATCAAATGACATGATATGCATGGCATCTACTTTTAAAAAGTATAACTTTGATACACATCATCAGTCTTTTTGTCATTGCTGTGCTAAGAAAGATGATTTATGTGTGTAACAAATGAGTCCCATTAGTTCCAGAGTACCTCTACTAGCTGCGTGGAGGTTTACTTTTTCCTCATTCCCACCACCTTGTAGGATATTAGTGGGCTGTATAGATGTGGTGCGTGTGTGTGTGTGTGTGTGTGTGTTTCTGTCTCCTTCCTGCCACCTTTGTGCTTTTTGTCTTCTTTCCTCATTTTAACTTCAAAGACCTCTTAGTAGTAAGGATTATGTTGTTTTTTTCATTCATTCAGTTAAAATGATCAGTCTTGGTCTGGTTACCCTTTCAAAAACCCTATGATTTGGTTTCTCAATGCTTCCAGGCAGACAGATTAAAAACAGGATTTCTCTCAACCACTAAGTAAATATTGGCTTTTCCCCCACAAGTACTTGGTGCTTTTCAGTTTACTTTGAATAAACCCATAATCCAGTCTCACAATCTCTAGCCTTCCAAACTGGCCTGAGAACCTCCTATAATAGCCTTATTGAACAACATCCCTGTGGAATGACCTACTTCTGACCGTACACCCTTCTTTTAACTGCCTCTTTCCTCACTTGACATAAGGCTCACCTCTGTCACATAAGTGTGCAAGTAATGAAGCACTGCACTGTCCTGGAACACCTTGCTGAGCCATTTTTCCTAGAGAAGTGCAGTGGAGAGCAGGCAGCCAATAACTGAGCAGATTTGCATCTGATCCAGCTCCTCTGGGACTGGCTTCCCTTTATATTCTGCACATGATTATCTGCACTGCAATTGAGTGGGAGCAAGAAGGTTGCTATTGTTTTTTATCAGAACACTGCTGAGGATCTGTGGGGGGAAGCAGATCCCTATCCAAGACCTTTATGCACGCATAGTTTCAATTGTTCCTCCTCTGGACAAGTGTTCTCTTCCTCACTGGTTTTCCATGAAATCCAGACTGTTCAAGGGTGAAAGAGAGTTCAGATTTAGAGCTTGCTATTTTCCCAAGCAGTGAATCATCTGTACATCTTTATTTCTCATACTTTCCAAACACATAATATTTTCTAGAAGATTCCCTGAGAGAAACTATGTAACTAGACTGTTCTATGAAAATCCTTAAACTTATGTGGGGACGTATCTTGCTTTGACTATGGCTTTGCTCTAGAACTCTTGTTTCCTTTTATTATCTCTGTTTTCTAAGTGCTTCCTTCAAAGGCATTCTCAGATAGCTGAGTGATGATCTTCCAGGCCGCTCAGTATCAGTCATTGGTGAACCATTTTTTCACAGACCTGAAGGCAGCTGGCTTGTTTGAAGGCAGTGTGGTTTAGCATCTGGCATACATGTAAGGGGTCTAGCATTTTGGTAGAAAGAGTATAGGCTTTGAAAAATATGCACCAGTTTTTAGTTTCCATTCTGACAATCATCGTGTCTGTTTTATAGATGAATAACATGAGGAGCAGAAAAGTTAAATAATTTAGTCACAGTCACATCCATCCCATAGGATGTATGAAAAGATTAACAAAATGATCAGGAAAGTAGTTAATTACAGTAGATGAGCAATACATAATAAGTAGGTAATGATTACATTTGTGGTCACTTTATAATAGGAATAAAAAATTTGAAAAATGTGAAAAATATTATGCTCTAAGAGACTGTTTTGTATAATCAGGGACATTTATTGGAAGAAATTATGGTAAGAGTAAGCGAAAACAAAGATTAATGAATGAAATCACACAAAACAAAGAAGAAAACAAGGGCAGTAAGAAAAGGAAAGAATGAATATGAGTAATATGAGTTCATATAAATTATGCAGATTTATGTACTTTAGGGAAAATGAGGCACCAAGATGGAGACTGTAACACTATCTGAGGAAGTTGACAACAGATCAGCCAGTTCTAAAACTGAAACAGAAGTGATCACAGTGACCACATAAATGCCAACCAGAGTATACGAGCCATTAGTGTCTTGTCGTGGAGGACATTATTTTCCTGATTGAAAAGTTCAGTTATGAAAGTGCTTCATAAAACCAAGATACACATCCAGACTGCATGAAGGCAGGGACTGGCCACCAGAAACCTCTGGTTTTCAATCAAGAAAAAGCCCTGTGATTCTTCTCTGTAATGCAGTCATGTGAACAGCATTGTAGGGAAAATCCAGAGATACGTTTCAGGCAGGGATGGATTCAGAACTACTTACATGTGTCACTAGTTTACTTCCCTCCTTTCTCTGTCTCTGTTTTCTTTGCCACTGCATGGAGAATGTGCCCAGGAATGAAGCCAACATGCAGGAAAGCAAGGATGGATACAGAAAGCCCCAGCTTCTATTTTATCCAGTTTATCAGTTTCATCCAAAAGACAGCAGCTCTCCTCTGATGACACCAGCAAGAGCCCAGGTTGTGACGCTCACTGGGCCTACAAGGGTGAAGTGGGCAACTCCTAACCAGTCCCTGCAGTCTTGGGGTTGGAGTGCTGTCAGTGACAACTCAGTTATCTTTCAGTCATCCTTGGATTAGGAGCTTAGGCTAGCACTCCTGAACCAAGTGGACTTAGAGAAGAGAAGGATATGGTTCCTCAAAGAGGGAGAACAAATGCTGGGCGGGTCAAAGATATTGACTCCTATTGTAATAAATGCTATGGAAATTGAAGATAAATGCAAATCAAAACCAAAGAACAGAATGAACCTCCTCCTTTGATGGTTACGCTTGGAAACTAAGAGGAAAGTTGAGAATGGTTTGAAGTATACCCTCTCTCCATGCTATGGCTCCTCTCTTAGAAATACGTGGTACAGAATCCCCAGCAAGAGATTAGATTAGATCCTGGCCCATGGGCCTTGAAGGATGGGAGGTCAAAGCCCCAGCCTGGCATCCCTGACTCTCCTTTCTTAGCTTACTCTGCAGTCATTCCAAGGGGAGCAAGAATACTGGCTTGGGTTGAGCTATCTTGGCTGTGAAATAAATAGAAAACTGCTTACAGTGAGAAGTATTTGGCCCTGTTATCAGTATGCTGCAGGCTGGGTTAATTAAGTGACCTCTGACTTAGAGGGTTCTACCAGTCTTTCTTTCAGATCTCGGATATGTGAGAAAAGGCTGTCTCACCCTTAGCTGGCCTCATTAAGGGCAGCACACTCTGCTGTCCTGGGAGGCCAGCTGTCCAGGTATGAAGAAACCCTGCCTCTGGGGCACTACACTCCCATGCTTCTCATTGAGTCCTGAAGGGTGAGCAGATTTGTGTTTGGCTGTCTTGGAGGAAGGAAAGACTGCCATGCTCTGTGGAGGCTGTTTTTGATGCTGTGTTAGGGAGATAAGGAGCCCACATGTTGTCTTTCAAAATCTGTAATGGGCATTGAGAAGACTTAAAAGGAACAAAAAGGACTGTGGAAAAAAATGTCAACCAGAAACAATGGATTTCCTCCCTGGCTGTTTATATCACCATACACGCTTGACAAATGTATAATCCAAAATCCAAGGAAGAAAAGAGAGGCAGATCTGAAAATGAAGAGGTCTATTGGCAGGGTTCTAAGAAACTAAAATTCATTGTACAATGTAATTAATCAACTCAGACTATTTTCTGTGTATCATCATAGCCTGCCATGGCAGTCCAGATTTTTAACATGAATTGAGTTACAAAAATACTCTTGAGTTCAATAGGAGGCCATTAAATAGGAAAGAGGTGGAAGCAAAGGAGTATGGCAGAAGGAGACAGACACTTAAAGTTGGTGGTGGAGAAAGTGGGGAAAGACTTATTTATAGACAAATTGATCCTTTGTATATGTCACTGGGAAACTCCTTAGGCATTTTAATCAAGGTGATTCTTTTGTGCTAAGAAAGAGATTTGATTAGCCAGTGATTCCTAAAACCTAGTATTTAAGCACAAAAGAGCCACCAGTGTAGCTGCCAGAGCACATTTGCACCTTGTTCTGTTTCTTTGTATTACATCTTTCAGTAACCTACCAACTGCTCTGTTGTCCATAAATGTCTCTATTTTCATGTTTGAAGGATTAATACTTTCATTTCAGTCATCTGAAAATGTGCTTTTCCCTACTGCTTTCACTGAAACTTGTTGAGATGTTAAATGTTTTCTGTGTGTGGTAATGATCACCTTTGCTAACTAAATATTTTCAGCCCACTGCCTCTGGATACATGATAGGGTTATTATATGCGTGAATCTCTTTTGGTGGGGCAGAGTGATAGGATTTATTGAGGACAGTGATTTGGTGGCAAAAGTGACATGTGTCACTTTGAAGCTGAAGAATTCAAATACTAGATGTACAGTTTTGGGAGCTCTTTTACGCTACTGTGGTGAATGGGAGTGTTGGAGATACTTGCTCCACCAGCCTGCATCACAGTATGACCATAATGAGGAAAACATCACTCCCTGCCTGCAGGAAATATGATAAATAAGCAAAAAGTATGCCTTTGTTATGTCCAGCTGCTGAGAATTCAACATTTGTTACCTCAGCCTAACCTAGTTGAATCTGATTGTTATCCTGAAACTTCACACTTTCATGAAGAAGATGGAGAATTGGTGTCCCTGCTATAACAAGTCTTCCTGGGACATGCTTTTAATGGTAGCTTTCCTGGTATTTGTATTGTGTCCTCATGGCCCCTTTAATTGGTAGTTTAAATGAAATGTGGGCTCCATTGGAATCATAAGCATATTCCACCAAATAGGCAGAAGCCAAGAAAAAGATGCTGTTTCTTTGGTCATGACTGTTTAGTTGCAGTAGAATAGAAAATGACTGCATAGGAGAACAGCAGAAGAGGAATGAGTGTATAAAAGATAAAAGAAATTTGCTCAAAAAGCACACTTGTCACAGGACAAAGGTTAAAAAAAAAGAAATTCAACTGGCTCAACACATGGCTTCACTTAAGCTCTTATTGAGTAAATTCTTGTTTTCTCATTTAGGCTGCTACCATACTTTTCTATAAATTGCGATTTATTCCTTTCTTGGCCAGAGGCTCTCCCAAAACATTACAAATTTTATTAGCTGGTGAACAGAGCGTGACAATCCCAAGGACACTTAGGGATCACCTATGCTTCTGGCCCAAAGGTTGGCATTTGGGCTGGTGTTTTAGCTGTGTGTGCTTCACAGAAGCACAAGAGATGGCAGCATAATTGATGAATTGCTACATCATTTAGCACTTAGTCGTACTTCTCTTCCAGTATCTTCTGTTCTAGCTCTCTTTGTGAACTGGTTCAAAGAACATGTTTTTAATGGAAATGCCCTAGGATTAGGAGTCAAACAAAGCTGCCATCTGGTCTCAGCTCTTCAAATATTAACTGGGTAAACTTAGATGTGTCTTGTAAGCTCTATATTCCTGTCTATGGAAAAATCAACAGTAAAACCCAAGACAAACATTGTTAAGAAAAAATAATAGAAATAAGCAAGTTTACCAACATAGTCAATTCATATATAAATATACTTTACATGTAACATAGCATGATCTGATAAACACTTCTTCAAAAGAGGCATGCTAAATATGTAAAATGTCAAAATATGTCAACAGTTTCAAACACATTTATTTGAGTAGAAAGTACATGGTTCTAATTGAAGTTATTCTGATATGGAATATAATTTCATTTAGTTTTGTTTCTTTTCCTGCTGTCTTTTCCACACAGGATGTGCTTGTTATTGAATGTCCTTTGATGCAAGTTAAATACATGAAACATATTTTCTGCTACCAGGTTATTTTTGCAGTCTGCTTAATTTTGCAGATGACTCAGATAAAGGCAATGAAGCAATGTAATAAAGCAAAACACATATAGGAAGTTAATTATCTTCACATGGACTCTTCTGGATCTTATAAATTAGAAGTATGGCGTTCTGATGAATTCCAGTTTCTGGTTTAGTTACATGTATCTCTCACTTCAGGAAAAAGTGTTCAGGGACAAGAAGGAAATATCACTTAACCTGGTTGAAAGTGAGTAGTTTTTCTCAGCAAATATATAGTTCCCTATTTCTACATGGTAATAAAACAGGTCAATTTCTTAATTGAATATGACAGGTCTTTCATATTTGAATTTTAATATTTTGGCAACTATATATTATGTAAAATAGGCATATATGTGTGTACATGTATGCATATTAACTGTTTTGTGTAAGTATTTCGTGGCCAGAACCTTTATAATAGACTTCTGCTAAAAAAAAATATTGTGGATGATTCTCGGTATCCAAGAAAAGTAGTAGTCCAATATGGAGAATAAAGTTGTGGTCAGTATAGTTTTTTTTAAAGATTTATTTTATTTTATTTGAAAGGCAGAGTTACAGAGAGTCAGAGAGAAGGAGACAGAGAGAGAGTGAGAGAGGTCTTCCCTCTGCTGGTCACTCGCCAGATGGCCGCAACAGCCAGAGCTGCGCCTATCCAGAGCCAGAAGCCAGGAGCTTCTTCTGGGTCTCCCACGTGGGTGCAGGGGCCCAAGGACTTGGACCATCTTCTACTGCTTTTCCTAGGCCATAGCAGAGAGCTGGATTGGAAGTGAAGCAGCCGGGACTTGAACTGGCACCCATATGGGATGCCGGCACTGCAGGCAGCAGCTTTACCTACTACGCCACATTGCAGGCCTTGTCAATATAGTTTTAAGAGGATTTTCCCCCAAAGCTTGTTCAATAAAATATTTAAAAGCCTGGGCTTGTACAGGATCCCAGAAGCTCCACTACAGGGCACTGAGTGTTAGTCCATGTTCCTGTCGTTCAGAAGTTCATCTGCAGGGCAATTCAGCTGCACAGCCAATCAGGGGTCTTTGCAAGGGACTCGCTCCTTCAAAATGAATCCATTAGACCCTGCTTAATTAGGAAAGGGATCAAAGAAAAGGATCAACCAACAGAAAAGCTGGAAAATGAAGAATTTAGTTAACAAAATAATGGTCTGAAATAATCTAATTAGACTTGAATAATCTAATAAACAAAATATGAAATTGATTATTGTAATAGAATGTAAAAAATAAGGAAAGGAGACCAGATTAAAAATGCCTGGAGTGCGGTTATCCCTGATAGGTTCCCAAAACTCCTCTGAAGTAGAACAGAGAAAAAGTGAGCACAGTTTTCTTCTTTAAACAAATTAACAGTTTTACCTAATACTGTTTCTACCCAAACCAGTTCCTTTGTCTCATGCTTGGGGCTAAATATTCCATGGTCTCAATTTCTTAAGTCTGTCCATTATACATGTGCTAGCCTGAGGGGCAGTGTAACTAATACCCATAAGCATGACACAAAGATGCCAACCCATGAAGTTGTAGTTGCACTTAGTTTCAGCTATATAATTTATTATTTTAGCAGATTACCCTTACCACTCCATGAATAGTCATAAAATACCTATTTCCTGAAAGCTTGTGATTCAGGAAAGGGGAAGGAAATAAAATAAATGAATGTGAATCTCACTAGAATGTATGAGCTGCATTTATCTGCCTCTCTCAAGTTCTCATGAATACAAATTTGGAGGTGAATTTTATAAAATAATATAGGTCAATTTTTAGGAGTAAAAACTTTGATTTATTCTGCCTTGGGCCAGTTGGGATGTAATGCCAGGTCACACTTAAAAATATTATATCTGCAGATTCTGTAATAAAAAAAAATCATGTAAAACTCATTTATTTAATTGACCAGCATTGGGATATGTGATAATTTGGTAAACATAGTAGGTATTTCTCCGCATGATTGTTCATGGTCAGTATAACTTGGGTGGCATTAACTATGATGCTTCTTCTTTCAGGTATCAGAACTACTGATCCACAAGCTCAACCAAAACTCGGTGCACTTTGAGCTGAAACCTGGGGTCCAAGTCCTTGTCCATGCAGCTCACCTAACAGCAGGTCAGTTTCCATGTTCATGGGTTGTAGGTCATGGCTCTTGCGAAGGGAAATGCTAATTTGTGTTTCCTTCCTCATAACAAGGCTAATACCTCTGCTAGGCAGAAATCAGGTACAGTTCTTTGAGGATGCTGTGCTTGGTGTTTTCGCCTGTGGAGAGCCAGTTAGCAACAGTAGGAAGTGGTGTTTCCTGCTTAATCCCTGGCAGAAGCTCTTGGTGACTCACTAAGATCCATCGTACGTGCAAGCATTTCTCAGCAGAAATTTTGAAAATACTGTTAACCTTATGAATATTGATTTTCAAGTTCTTCCTGCAAAACCTTATTTTCAAATCATTCATGTTATAAAAATCTGCTTTCTTTAAAATTTGAAGCAGCAGAGTAGAGGTAGTGTGGGCTTAGGTGTTGCACGGGGCCATTACCAGGAAGTAAGCATTTTTTTTATTTTTTGACAGGCAGAGTGGACAGTGAGAGAGAGGGACAGAGAGAAAGGTCTTCCTTTACCGTTGGTTCACCCTCCAATGGCCGCCGTGGCCGGCACACCGTGCTAATCCGAAGGCAGGAGCCAGGTGCTTCTCTGGGTCTCCCATGGGGTGCAGGACCCAAGGACTTGGGCCATCCTCCATTGCACTCCTGGGCCACAGCAGAGAGCTGGCCTGGAAGAGGGGCAACCGGGATAGAATCCAGCGCCCCTACCAGGACTAGAACCCGGTGTGCAGGCGCCGCAAGGTGGAGGATTAGCTTAATGAGCCGCGGTGCCGGCTCAGGAAGTAAGCATTAAGTTGACAATGATCTTGCAAATCACTTAATGTCATTGAGCTTCTGTCACCTGTAAAATGTGTGTGTGGGAGTTGGAGGGGTGGCAGGGGGATTCTTCTTTAAGGCTATATAGAGATTTCAAAAATCATACAAGTAATTCTAAGCTAAATAGATACTAATAAGTAGATATTATGGTGTATTAATAATAAACTATCATTGAGTACTGACTTTTGCAGAATACTGTGCTGGCATTTCATGGAATACAAACGCCATTTGAAAATGGTCTCTGTACTCAAAAGATATGTAAATTGGTTGTGGTATGGGCAGGTTTGGAGGTGGCAGTGATTGTGGCGTTGTGGGGCACAGAGAATGGGCAGAAGGGATGTCTCAATGAGTGAAATACATACATTCTTATATACAGAGGCAACACAGCATACATAAACACTTGGAGTTTCTCTCTTTTCTTTTTGGAGCTAGATCATTGGTTTCAGTATTTATTATATTTTTCACTGTGTAACCTGAAAAGAGATACCTTCTGTTTACCTCAGAGATAGTAATAGCAGCTATGTCAGTGTGATTGTACAAAGATTAAGTTCATCCCATTAGTGCACTTAAATAGTTTCTGACACAGAGTAAACTAATCATCTTTCTTTGACTCATTTTATTATTAACAATCATTTTTTTGAAATCTAAAGCAGCAGTGAATTGTATCTATTCAAAATGATAAAGGATACATCATGGAGGAGATATTCTTTGGGAACAACTCAAAGTGTAAGTGAGATTGAGCTCAAGAGACTATTCCAAGCACCAAAGCATCTTCCAAGGAAGGAAATCCTCAAGAGTTTCAGGGATGCTGAATGAGTGAGAACAGTGCTTTCCAACTTCATTCTTGGGATTCCTGGAGGTTCCCCCAGATCTAGAGGAAGACCAAGCAGGCTAGCACTGACTTCTCTTCTTGGATTTTATCTTTTTTCTTTGTTGGGATTCCATCAGAAAAATTCTACTGCCTCAAATAAATATTAAAACTCACTGTTTTTAAGTGTGAGATATAGATAGTAGTGAAGTGTGGATATATGCCAGAATGAGCCATCTGTTCTTAACTTATCGGGCCCTGGAAAGCCATGGAGACCTCTGAGCAGAGGAATGATTTGGGAAGATGACTCCTACGAGCAAGGAGGATTGAGTAAGGCTGATTTGCTGTTCTGCAGCTTGTCATCCTAACTCATCCATTGAATAGACATTTACTGAGTACCTGGCGTCTCCAGGCCAAGCAGTGTTCTCAGCAATGGGAATAGACTCTTATCTTCATAAAACTTCCATTGTTGGGCAATTCCTATCAGAAAGCCCATTTAAAAATGTGTTTCTGAGTATGTGCTTATGAAAATGCTAGGAAGAAGAGGCTGCCAACTTATCTCAGGGTATTTGATGATCCTGATCATCTGTTTCTTACCCTGGTTTTTTTTATTTAGCTTATTTTCGCATCACACTCCAAAGAAGGCTTGGGTTATTTTGATCAGTAAGAAATCTTACTTGAAATGTTCTTTAAGAAGTCTTCTTAGAATGAGAACAAGTTTAGATTTGGGACCAGGTTGAAAAGTATGAATCAAAAGGGTAGGTAATGCCAGAGAAACTGATACAACAGTGGTATCCAAAGGTGATAATGGACCATTATCCCATGAGAAGGAAATATTTATCCCATTGGGGTAACAGAGAATAACACGAACTTAGGAAGACCTAAACATTTTCTCCAATTCATGTTCCTAGTTCATTTCACAGCTGGGAATTTGGGAAACAGGACTCAGATCCCTGGGAGGAAGAGCTGCCAAAAGGGAGATATGTTGCTGGAAATCTCCGTAAGCACGCTGAGATTTGAAGAAGAGCCCCTGCAATGTAGATATGCATGATGCAAAGTTACTAAGAGGATTGAAAAAATAGCAGTTCCAGGCAAATGCTGAATTTAATACTGGAACAATTTGGAGAGAGTGAGAAATGTATTTGACTGTTCAGGATAGTGCCCTGTCAGATCTGGTAGTATGGTCCTTTGGTAGTATCCTGATCAGCTGGCATTGTTAAACCTTCTGTCATGGCTGGCTCCATGAATGGAGTGGATGTGCACTTTCACATAATAGTGAGTTTCTGTAAAGGAAGAGAAAGTCAGGGGCTCACAGAGTAACAGAGTCAAGGGAAATTTTGCTACATTGAGTTTGGCCATGTTTGTCACAATGGTGTTGTAACTGGCAATATCCACAGATGTAGCAATCACTCTGGGCCAAATTTTCATATACAAAAAAACAAAACCAAACCAAATAAAGCAAAACTGGTTTGTGTCAAGAGTGGTGATAAGGATGTAAAATGTATGAGACAGCAGTTTCCTGTTGAGGATGAGTCTTACATTTGCTCTGGGTATCTGACGTGAAGCAAACAAATCGAACAGACAAAACAAAATAAAAAAGGCACTGTTTGAATAGGATATTGGATGGATGTCTATCAGAGACAATAGAGATAATTCTCCTTTTACACATGGATTAGGGACAGGTGGATTGAGCTACTTGCCACATTTTCTTTTATTAAGTTAACACTTCCATATTTGGGTGGCTAGGAAGATAAGGAGGAAGAAGCCAGGTGAAATGGTGAAATATTGAGCCAGAGTGTTGGTGTGGAACTCACTCCTCAATTTCCTCTCCCTTCTCTTATCTCCCATGAAGGAGGAGAAAATAAAAATTAAAGGTGAAAAAAAGACCACTGTTGGTAACATTTCATGTTTCATAAGCCAAATATCTACTGCCTTCGAAGGGACCATTATGGCACACCACTGCTTTCTATTAATTGTTCAGCAGATGTTCTGCAACCTTCTTTTAAAAATGTTTGAGCCAGAGTATGTTGCTGGGGAGAGAGGTCATGCATAATTTGGTTTGCTTCCAAGGAAAAATAACTGTCTCCTTTCACAAGTTTACTAACCTTCTTTTGGCTTTCAAATTCAGTTCTTTGTTTGCTCTCATGGCAACACAAAGTAAATGTTTGCAGATACCTGGAGGTCATTAGAGATGCGATTTTGCTTATTTCTCCCTACATGCTCTGTCTGAGATATCATTAACTTTTTTTAAAGATTTATTATTTATTTAAAAGGCAGAGTTTCAGAGAGGCAGAGGCAAAGAGAGAAAGAAAGGTCTTCCATCCACTGGTTGACTCCCCAAATGGCCACAATGGCCAGAGCTGGGCCAATCCAAAGCCAGGAGCCAGGAGCTTCTTCCGGGTCTTCCACATGGGTGCAGGAGCCCCAGGACTTAGGCCATCTTCTACTGCTTTCCCAGGCCATAGCAGAGAGCTGTACTGGAAGTGGAACAGCTGCGACTCGAACCCATGCCCATATGCGCTGCCAGCACTGCATGCAGCCTCTTTACCCACAGTGCTGGCCTCTGTCATCGTTAACTTTGATATCTAAGCTGACCTCAGCTTTGAATACAGTCCTCATTTTGTTTTTAGTCATGGCTGGGTGGAGAGTTGGACAGTTGCTCTTGACTCTCCCATCCACTCTCAACAACTATACTTATGAAATTCTCTGCAGAAAGGAGATATTTAAAATTATGTAATAGTATAGAGATAATGAAAAAACATGTTATCAAAAAAAGTTGAGATAAGATCATGGCCTGCATATCTTCTTTTGATGGTTACTTGTCTCTACCCTTACCAAGCAACGGCTATGATGTTGCAGAATCATGCAGAATTAGAAAGGGAGTAGCCATCCCTCAGGCTTGGTGTTGTACCAGAAGCATTGGTGTTTTGACTAAAATGTACCTTTGCTTATGCTATTCCTTACTGAACTAGTTCTTCTCTTTTCTTCACCCATCTATATCCCCTAAATCTGTTTTGAATTTTAAGGCTTGCCAACATTTAGCTGACATCTTCCCAGAGATCTTTGCCAGGGTAATATCTTTCCCTAGTTTAAACTAACATTTAAATCTGTTGGATGATGATGACCATGACCATCATATCATCTTCATCACTCATCTTTAACTTCTTGTGGATACAAGTCATCATATCTTTATGTTGTAGCCATCACTGTACCCAGCACAGAGCTTGTACATATCTGCTGCTCAAAAATTGTTGCTTTTATAAATAATTAGACACATAAATAATTTATAACCTGCAGATATATATTCACAATCTCATTCACCCAGTTAACCTTCAGATCCAGTTTATCCACTTGTCAACCTATCTGTTTGACATGCCAACTCTCACTAAAAA